GAATGGGAGATTATCCTGTTGACATTTATCATACAATTGATTTAATTGAGGAATGGGGGAGTATCCTGTTGACTTTTATTATACAATTGATTTAATTGAGGGATGGAGAGTATCCTGTCGACTTTTATCATACAATTGATTTAATTGAGGGATGGGGAGTATCCTGTTGACTTTTATCACACAACTTATTTCATGTAAGCAAGAATACTACCAATACTGCATTGAATCCCACTAATATGTGTAATTCAGCATTTCATCTAACACAAAACCTTACCAAAACATATATATATTGTAGAAAATAAGTGATTTTTACCCTATGTTTTTGTCAGTTGTTCACTCTAGATGTTCTAGCAGGCCCAAATATAACATTACTCAATATGATGCAATAAGTGTACCCCGCCGGTAATGAAAGGTATAAGAAAAAACAAAACAAGTCGGTAACTTGAGCTTTATGACTTGTGATTGCAGTGGATACAAACTGAATCTTGCAATCTTGCAAAACCAGTTTGTATCCACTGCAATGTTTTGCAAGATTTTCCCCTCATGCCATGATTACATATGTATATCGATGTGCATAATTATGCTATTCATATCATTAAAAATAAATAGAACATATAAAAGAAAGCCAACAAAACCATTAGCTACGAACACAACGGTAAAACCAGTTTCTAGGGCAAAATGTAATTTAGGTTCCTGTAAAGTATGTCGCTAGTTATATGATACAAAAAAAAATGTGATTTGTCTTTGGTTTCTTTTTGAGATAACATAAGTTTAAAAAAAAACAAAGTTAAAAACTGGATTTCTGCCAGAAAATGTTTCAACTAAGGTCCATAATTTTAAATTCTATTTTTACAAACAGTTTTCCAACAGTGAAAGATCTTAGGGCGCTAAACAACTTAACCAACTCATGCACGTAGCTGATGCAAGATGTCGTCTTTCTTACTTCACGTTCAGCGAGAATAAATCTCGTGCACGATTCACGTTTTTCCCTGAAGCACAAAAAAAATTGTTGAGCCACGCTCTATATCCACTTGATTGTTTGTAGTCCAGCGTTTATAAATATAGTTTCTTATTTTTCTAGCTCTTACACACATGCCAAATAGTCGAGACAAGAACTAAAAATTATAATGAATGCTTGCTGCCGTCTTAACTTCATATAATTTAAAGTGAGGTTATTGTAGACGGAGCTTTAGATGCTTTGCCTGTTTGTTTGTAGTTAAGAGCAAAGCTTACACAATGGGCTATCAGTACCGTGGCTACCACGGGTATCAAAACCACTCGGTTTGTATAATTAGTTACTAATTTTATTCTGTTACTAAGATACCATTTGATAATTTATTTTATACCCCACGTATAAATGTTAACCTGCTACCCTTAATGAATCGATCAATAACCCGCCAGCATTTCTATCAAGTAGACCCAGGATCGAATCCCAGCCACCACTAGCACGAAAAACAAAGTTCTCCTCAGGACTTCCATGACGACGACAGCAGATTAAACTAGTTAGTAATTAGTGATAAATCAAGCGAGTAACTAATTAATAACATAACTCGTCGTACAGGGTACTAACCATGCCAACGATTGACATCCCACCTCCTACAGCTGACAAACGATTATGTTTACATACAAACAAACGTCAAATAAATCCCAAATAATATTTTTTCCAGAAAAATCATGTAGTTAATCGAGCTTTGTTAAAAGAATACAATTCAGTTTCTAACAGCGTGAATAAAAAATATTTTTCAATTACGAATTAAAAGTGTACCTATACACCAAAACCAAAACCACTTTTAATTCCAGTTACGTTATATAGCAGATGGCACTGCATCAAAAATTAATCAAACATACAAAATCGACAAATATCATTAACAAATTGCCTCCCCCCCCCCTGGTGGTTCAGCGGCAAGTCTGGGGGGCTAATAACGCGGTGAGCAGAGCACAAATAGTCCATTGTGTATCTTTGCGCTTGACAACAACAACAAAAAAAATAGTAACAGATTAGCTGAATAACGTGAATTTTTCAATACTATATACACAGCTAGAATTTACCATTTCACAGCACAAATAACTAGCGTTAAATCACTAAAACCCTATGAATACTATTAACTCACTAAACCCCAGTGAATACTATTAAATCATTAAAACCTTATGTAATCACTAAACCCTATGAATACTATTAAATCATTAAACCCCCATGAATACTATTAAATCACTAAACCCCAGTGAATATTATTAAATCACTAAACCCCAGTGAATATTATTAAATCACTAAACCCAATGAACACTATTAAATCACTAAACCCCAATGAATACTATTAAATCATTAAACCCCAGTGAATATTATTAAATCACTAAACCCCAGTGAATATTATTAAATCACTAAACCCAATGAACACTATTAAATCACTAAACCCCAATTAATACTATTAAATCACTAAACCCAATGAATACTATTAAATAAATAAAATCCAATGAATACTATTAAATCACTAAACCCCAATGAATACTATTAAATAAATAAAATCCAATGAATACTATTAAATCACTAAACCCCAATGAATACTATTAAATAACTAAACCCCAGTGAATATTATTAAATCACTAAACCCAATGAATGCTATTAAATAAATAAACCCCAATGAATACTATTAAATCACTAAACCCCAATGAATACTGGCCAAATCAGCTGACGTCCAATGAATACTGGCCAAATCAGCTGACGTCCAAAGTTCAGGTGCCAACAGTCTCTTATGACACAAAGTGTATAATATACACGTGGTCCAACTTCCTCGTATTGTACGATTTTATCACTAGAAGTTAACAGTAATAAGCAAACGCAACTTAATCACTCATTTAAACGTTTGTCCGTACATTAAACAAGTGGATTAGATATCCTGATGACATTTAAATTTGACTGAGAAATGTCTTTTCTGTCTTTCTAAAAGCAAATAATGGCCATCTCCGAAATTTTCCATCCTAGATGCCCCCCCCCCTCAGTGGCACAGCGGTATGTGTGCGGACTTACAACTCTAGAAACCGGGTTTAGATACCCGTGGTAGGCAGAACACAGATAGCCCATTGTGTAGCTTAGTGCTTAACTTGAAATAAACAGGACCAAATCATTCTAGATCCGTACCAAAAACGAGAGGCTAAACTAAACAATGAATTAAAAAC